AAATGGCCGGTTTATAGGGAATACTGAGGTGGCCGACTCGGTGGTGTGGCCGACTCGGTGGTGAAATACGTTAGTTACCCTGGATGACTCAGTACCCCCGCGTTGCCTCGCGACGGCGTCAGACCCAAAACGGGGGTGTTTGCAGGGTTTGCACTGCTTTGTTGTTGTTCCCCTCGAATTGGTCATAGCTCCTGCCCTCGTTATCGTCGAGAGGTCCACGATGCAGTCATCGCCTTGCCTGACTGCCACTAACAGGTTTAAGCATCCCGCCGGCCCTTCTGATGTTTAATTAAACCTATCCCAGCAGATCGGTCTGAAAGATCTCCTTAGCCCCCTCCATCCTGGTTTCATGACTCCCAGCCACCAACTACTAGTTGATTGGCTCCGATGTTCTTATCATCATTATATTAGACTGATTTCACAGCTCTGGTCCTGACACCAACTCACCCGCATTCAATTCTCCTCGAGGGACCTGGTATTGAAGGCATCTCAATTGGCTGTCGTGAATGATGCACCGATCTTACCTCCCTCATGCAAAGGGCAAAGATGGCCAGCGGAAGGTTTCCCCTTCTGGGCCGTCGTACATGTCGAATGACCAGATCGGTGAGTCTATATTGCTGGCTGAGTCATGAGATTCTTTCTCCTTTAAAATAGCGGTGTGATGCATTCGAGACTAATAGATGGGTCGTGCGTCCTTCTCCATATAGCAAATTACTTGAAAGATCTACGGACAAATCGTCCAGCACGTCCGAGCGGATCCAGACCTCTTCCTTCGAGAACAGCCGGCTCGATGTCTAGTTCTCGTGACGATTTACCCCCACGAGCTGCGTCGGCCATGTCAACGTACAGCAATTCTGCAAGGTCGCCTACCAAACCGGCGGCCGACGCTGATCCACCCCGAGCCACCAGTTCTCTATCCAACCATCGTCCGTTCTCTCCTCGAAGCTCTCTGTATGGCTCGCCAGGACGCTCCGTTCAGGAACCAAGGACCATTCCAGTTCGCCAGAATGTTTCCCCGACTAGGGTACATTCCCGGTTTAGTCCCCCTTCTCCAGGCATGTATCGTGAGAGCAACCAACGTCGTTTTGAGAGAGAGCAGGCGAGGTCGTTGCGGGATGCGCTGGAGGAAATGAATGTCCACGAAGAAGAGGATGAAGACACTCGCATCCAAAAGGCGGCACAAGATGAGGCCACGGAACTCGTGTGGATGCATCAGAACCCGGGCATGGCCTCAAAGAATCCATATGCTCCTTATCGGAACCCTGACGTTGACCGTTTCCGAGGCTCACCGTCGAAGATTAACCCCCCTGCTCACTCTTCAGGGCCCTCAAGCCCCCGGCGGAATGGTCTGTTCCGCTCATCTGTGTCTGAGGCTCCTTCAGCCAGTGCAGATGCAAAGGGATCGAGTGGTAGTCCCACACGCGACACGCAACAAGAAAGACCTAGCTCGGACGAAACTACAAGCCCTAGAAAATACGGCTCGCTGCGCAAGAGTCTGAGAGTTAACTTTTCATTGCCTCGTGAACAGCAAAGCCCTTCAAAATCCCGAGACGGAGCTTGCGGGCTAGGTCTTACGAATATCAGCAGCGATTCGAATCGGGGTATCTTTAGAAACCCCAATGATCACATATACGAGGAACCTACCGGCTCCCCTCGCAAAGAAGAGGCCGAGCGCCCTGATTTCTCGAGGTCTGATTCATCTGCTCTGAGGTCAAAACCACGCAATGCCCTTCCTCGTGGCTCGCGGCCGCTTCCAGGACGACTGGGTAGCATTCCATTTGTTGACAAGCTGTCTCGCTTTGAACTCCACAAGCACCCTCCGACCCAATCTCGCAATGCCGAATACAAGACCAATGACCTGGCATCCAAATCGAAACCCGAAGAAGAAGTCATTGAGGAAACCAGTCCTGTGATAAAAGATGGTCTGGAAATCCGCAGCGACGATATCAGGGCGGCAACTAGTAAGAAGCTCAAAGATCGCAGTAGCAAACTCCCCATGCCGACAGCCGTCAGTGACCGCACCGGCCGGCCGATTGTGAGTTTTGAACCAGCCTGGAGACCGACCGAGGCGCAATTGCCCCCAAAGCCAGAACCTGCCGCCCCCACACCCCCTGTGGTACCTGCTGCACCCACGATAGAAGTGTCGGAGCCGCCCTCGATCCCAGTCATCAACGTACCGGATGACAGGGAACCTACTATTTCCGAGATGGGCGGTGGTTCAGCTCAGGCCGCCTCCAAGGAGCCGCGTGCTCGCCCAAATCCACCAAAGAGTGGTCAATCGTCTCCTAGGAAGCCCGCCCGTGCACTGCAGGATCGGTGGCTGTCAGCATATACTCGTTCTGGTGTCCCAACGGCAAAATGTGATTCTTGCACGCTTCCTATTGCAGGGAGAATTGTAACGGCTGCTGGAACGCGTTTCCATCCAGAATGTTTTGTATGCTTTCATTGCCAAACGGCCCTTGAATGTGTTGCATTCTACCAGGAGCCCGAGGCCAAGCGGCACGAAAGATTGGCTGATGCATCAGCGTATGATGAAGAGGCGCGCACGCCGAGATTCTACTGCCATCTTGATTTCCATGAACTATTCAGCCCTCGCTGTAAGAGCTGCAAGACTCCTATTGAAGGGGAGGTTGTTGTAGCATGCGGAGCAGAATGGCACGTCGGTCACTTCTTCTGCGCCGAATGTGGTGATGTACTTTACTCCCTGGTCCCCGTGGATTCCACCAGTATAGTTGCTAACTATGTGCACAGCCTTTTGATCAAGACACCCCGTTTGTCGAGAAGGATGGATTTGCCTGGTGCTTGCAATGCCATTCCCGCCGTACTGCCCCTCGGTGTCTCGGCTGCAAGAAACCTGTCCTCGACGATATTGTCATCACAGCTGTCGGTGGGCAATGGCATGACGAATGTTTCAACTGCCATGAATGTGGTAGTGAACTGGGCACTGATGGGAGATACTTCGTTCGTGAAGGCGAACCCAAACGAACCGCTAAAGGTCGTATCATTGGCGGCCCGGTCCAACTAGCTGTTTGCGAGCGATGTGAAGGCATCCGATTGAAGGCCTCTCCTTAGCCTCGGGATTAGGATGAGTAATTATGACCCCAGATGACAGATATGATTGTGTCCTTGAGATATCAAGTCTCTTTAGTTTTCGTATGCATTTTGGCACGTAACTCTTATCTTTTGCTTATTGTTTCTTCTGGTTGATTCTGCTTGCGTTTTTTGCCTTGCATCTTTTTGACATTCCTGCACTTTTGAAATCTGTGGGCATATCTTGATAATGATTTGCATATGTGGCAAGCGGGAGTTGTACATTTTGTTAGTTTTAGACACAGGAGATACATTACAATGCACATCTTTTGAATTTATCTGCATGACGAGCCTTGGCTTGCCGGGCGATTAACACCCATATTTCTTGGCCAATGAAAATATCATACATCTATTGAGTACTATTATAGGAGCCCGTCTAGCTATTCTATCTACGAGTTTTGGTGAAAGAGCAACCCATTTAAGCCGGCCACTCGGGGTCCTCCTTCCTCCTGAACACAGCAACATACTTATTGCCCTTATGCCGGGTGACTTTCTTGCTCTCCTCCGTCTCCTCCTTCATGACCCTGACACAGGGATCGTGTTGCAATTCCTCCTCCGAGACCCGCTCAAACAACTCCTTCACTCCCCCCTCCTGCTCGTCCTCATCCACAACCTCCACGTCCCGGAAATGCCTCAACACCCAGTGATGATACTCCTCCACATCGGTAATCGTGTACAGCAGTCCACCGGGCCGCAACGCATACGCATACTCGGCATTCAGCGTCTCGGATATAATGCGCGCCTTGTGCTTGCGGGCTTTGAAGTGTGGGTCGGGGAAACAGATGAAGATCTTGGAGAGCTGGTGGCGGCCGAAGAAGTTGGGGAAGAATTTCATCGTGTTGCTGCGCAGCGCGGAGATGTTCTGGAACCCGCCGGCCACGGGTCCCGCGCGGTCGGATTCAGTCGTAACTGTCGGCGTAGAGGGGTCCGTCGGGGCATCGGAGGTGGTGGGATCTGTAGGCGTAGCGGTGGATGGGTCTGCCGTGGGTGTGGGCGTGGGCGTCGCATTGTTCGAGGCCAATTTCTGTTGTAATTGCAGTTGTTGCGAGCGCAGAGCGCTCACGCGGTTGGTGACGTATTCAAGGACCTGCGTGCGAATTTCCATGCCTAGATAAGTAGAAATGCCATTTGTCAGTATACCGCATTGTCGCATGAAAACATGAATCGAGCCTCTATTCTGGGTCGAAAAGAGAAACGTAGAGAAAGCAAGAAAGGTCCCAACTCACCAACCATCAACGTATCCGGCAACACTGGCGCCAGACCAACCAGTAACCCACCGAATCCACAACCAATATCCACCACCTCGACATCCTTCACGAGTTTGCGCGCTCCGCTGAGATTCGTCTGCGCGGGATCCGGATTCACGAAAGCAGGGAAATGCGTCGACCAGTCCATATGCGCAGGACTCAGCGGACTAGATTGACAGACCGTCAGAAAAGAACAGAACATACCAGACCAGACCGGAACCTTTTCTCTCCACAGAAAACGGGGACCGCAAACATACTACTTCAACTGATGATCAGAAAACGGGTTCGCGTGCGCCCGCTGCCGAAAGAACTTCTTCTGAGGCAGTTTGGTGGCGGCCGCTGCGTCCTCCGCCGAGGCGTTGCGATACTGGTCGCGGCCCTGGCGCTTTTGACCTCCGCGCTGGGAGGGTTCGCATTTTTGGCGCTTGGCGGGGGGAGTGGACATTGTTTTTTTTTTTCTTTCTATTCTTTCTTTTCTTTCTGGTCTCTCTATTGGGTTGTTTGGTGGGGTGGAAGGACGAATTGCGGAGAGAGAAAGAGAGAAAGAGAGCCAGATGCAATCGGAGCGGCGGAAATTTTTCTCGTTCTCGGGGCCGGCAGTCAATCCTTCTCCACTACTCCACCATTCCTACTTCTGATAACTGATAACTACGGAAAATACGGTGTTTGACGGTATATTCCATTACTAGAGCATCTGCCTTTTTTTTGCAGTGGATCTTGGATAATTTAGAACGTTGTTTTCTTTTCTTCTTCTTCTTTTTTCTTCTGTCCCTGAGGAAAAGAACAAAGAACCACTATGATCCCCAACAAGAGACGCCAGCGGAGCAACATGCAGCGATCGTTTGCCTTGACCAATCTTTCTCTAATTGAGAGAAACCTCTGCAAGCTCGGCCTACCATAGGCTGGCCTTTGTTATGCTGGAACCGGGTGTTCGAGTCATCTAGAGTCTTGCTTTAGGAAAAATAATCGGAGAGCACAGCGATTGCTCATTTCTGTTTCTTTATGTAGGCACAATGCACCCTGCTCAAAGGAGCAAACAGTTGTCTATATGCCTGGTTTCCTCTCTTCGGGATCTTTTACGTGAATTCTCAGCTTTGGATAGCAAACGGAGAAATCATCCCGCGCAGATCAAGACCAGGACCAGGACCAGGACCAGGACCAGGACATAAAAGAGATGTCTTTGCAACCACCAGCTTTCTGGGACAATCTCCAGAACATCTCCATGACCAGCAGCGCATTGAAAGAGGCAGCAAGACGTTACTACCAACCACCGTTACCCAAGTATGTGAGAAAACCCATTCCCCTCTGAAATATGCTCTCTGATTTGGACAAGACTGATCATTCTTCTTCAGAGAACTGTGTCCTGATATCAGCTGGTCAGCTGCCAAAATCGTCGCAAGTTATCCGCCGCGGGAATTGCAAAAACTGAAGCGCTTTGCTAGACAAGGAGGACCTGGTTTTTCTGATCTCAGATATGTATGTTTCCTGGCCGTTTGAGCAGCCCTCGACGGGTCCTTGAGTTCGATATCTAATGGTCTGCCCGGGTGTTAGTGTTCCTTGAAAACGCCCATTCCCAGCATGGCTTCCGGCAACTGCTACGCAACCTCTAGGGTAACGACTCACGCCAGCGAATTCTTGACGAAATTGAAGGAGAGCCATGTTTATCCTGCTGGATATAGATTGCCAGAAGGCGGAGAGATGGAGCCACCGGCGAATTTCACGACCATCGTCGATATGCTATCTCACGATAGGCCTTCGTTGCCACAGATCACCAAGAAAGATTTCGAGGACTTCAAGCGTGCATGGAAAGATATTGCGACAGAACAAGTTGACAGAGACTTGGAGGAGTATTTCGCGGAGGTGCTGGAAGGGGGTGATAGCGAAGACTCAAAGTGCGAAAATGGCTTTTTATTCGCAAACTTTGCAATCCTGGCCAAAGACGTTGGGCATATGGTACCGTATCATGTCGCCGGTGCGCATCGTGAAGCACTGGACTCCAATATCTGCGCCAGGCTCAACAAGGAAATTCAGCCCTCCAACAGTCACCATTTAATTGCCCCCAACTTCTTTCTGGAGCTCTATGCAACGCCCGATGCCAAGCCCACAACCGCCCGGAAGCGGGCGTGCTACGCGGGCGCTTTGGGTGCTCGAGCGATGCAAGCTCTCAGGAGATACGAGAAAGAAGAGGAGCAGCCCCTTTTTGATCACAAAGCGTATACACTCTCTGCAACGCTGCACAGTGGAATGCTTAATCTGTACGCCCACCACATCACAGATGGCGATCCTCAGAATTATATAACGACCGAGATCGCTGAGTATAATATGCGGTCCGGCCAGGATGAGTTTCAAATAGGCATCACAGCTTACAGAAATGCGCGAGATTGGGCGAAGAATCGGCGGAATGAGCTGATTGCGGGGGCAAATTCTCGACACCCGCAGGGGTCCGGTCAACAGACAGCTGGATCACACGTTGGCGCGCAGAAGAGTGCTCCTGGCCGCGAGAGGAAGTCTGGTAGGAAGTCCGGCGCAGGCAAGAAGGCGAAAAGGGCACGACGCAGATAAGTGTGGGATGGATCAGTCGGTAGCAAGGGAGACTTTTGCTCAGGCCACACAGCTTTGTTGAGTTCTGTTCTGTTGTTTAGTGTACACCATGGTAGTTAGTAGAATTGTTGATTCTTGTGTCTTGATCGACTATGCGGACTTCCTTGAGAATGCGATCCTCTCACCGCCTATGGTAGTAGATACACCTCCACCCACCGCCTTCGTAGCCCTCCACAATTCTGCCCCCGTAGTTGACCCCCGCAACGCCTCGCTCTCTCTCCCTTCTTCATGAATCACACCAACCATGACATCCACCTCGACAACAGACCCCTTCCCTTTCCCCTCTACCTACAACTTCCCCCCCTTCTTCACCCCCCAACCAAACCGCAGCACACGATCCGCCCAGCTCCAGAAATGGTCCGCCCTCATCCAAGCCTGGTGTCGACACCACCGGACGTTCCGACTCTCGCTCATCGACGCCGTTGAATCCCCGTTATTTCACAACGCGACACTCCGCAAACGTGTCTCGCTTTCCGATGCCCGCGACATAATCGATTGGATGGCTTCTTCCTCCTCTTCCTCCTCCGGTGGTGGTGGGGACGAGGACGGAGGCGGGGGGAAGAGAGCGGAATGGGTCGATGCGAATCATAAATCTGTTGCGTGGATTTGGTGGCGGAGACCTGAGGAGTGGGCTGGGTTGGTGGCTGATTGGGTATTTATTCCCCCTCCCCCTTTATTTTCTAACTCCCTTTGTATGTTAGATTGGCTTGTGTGGCTCGAGTGAAGTTGGTACTGACGGGTGATGTGTTGGTTAGGTTGATAATACGGGGCAGAAGAATGTCGTGCTCACGGTGTATGAGTTGTTAGAGGGGGAGGCGACTATTTCGCAAGGTATGTCTATGTCTGGTTGTATCTGTCGGAGTGGTTTAGGATGGACTGGGTGACTGACCAATGAATTGTTCTAGAATGGCATGGCATGGACCCCGATGTCATGCTTCGGTCTCTCAATGTCCTTGTCAAACGGGGAAAGGCTCAGGTCTTTGGTGGCGAAGGCCAGGAAGGTGTCAAGTTTTTCTAAAACGCAGGCGTTACATTCGTGAATCTCGCATGGCCCTGTATGATGAACGCTATGAACGGCTATGGAGAGAGAAAAGAAGAGGGATGACAATATACACAACAAAAGTGCCCTCGAAACAGGCAGGTCAATCCCGAAATAAAGGCCATCGACCCAAATCGATCCCCAGAATCCAACCAACACCAAGCTCCAATCCCTGGCTTTATTCCTCGACCTTGTCAGCCGTCTCTTCATTCAACTCATATGCGTCCGCGGGGTGCCGGGTTTGGGACATGGCGATGTCCAGAAGCCAGTCCACACGGACAATTCGCGGTGTCTTGTGCACGCTTTGGGCCAACTGTCGGAAGCGAGGCCATAGCTTTCGATGATCAGCGGCCACGCTGCTGAGCAAGTAGATTTCGTTCCGGCTGGGATCAGCTTCCTCTGCCGAGCTGGCCTCGTCGCTTTCTTCTCGTTGGGACTGGTACGATACACGTCCGCGGAAAAGTGAACAGTCGCCTCCATTAGCATCAACGATGGATTTGAAGGCATCAAAGCCGCCACGAATGGACTCCACACAGTGGATTTTGTACCCCTGCAGAAGCCGGTTCTTGTTGTTCTTGGCGTTGGTCTTTGCTTCTTCCAACGAGAACCCAAACCGCTTCTCTGCAGCTTCATCCTTCAAAGGGAACTCCTCCGGGTCCGCCAGCTCGTTTTTCTTGAGACACGCTGTGATGAACTCGACGTTCACGATGACGGGCCCATACGCAAGTGCGTTGACGAATTTGGGCGTTCGCAAAATAGACGGGGCGGCGAGATGAGAACATTTCCGGGCGTCCTGGACGACCATGATGCCGAGGTCCCGAAGTTGTCGCTATTTGCAATTAGCATTTGAACCCGTATATAGTGAATGCCTATGGCGACTGTACAAACCTTGTCTGCGTCCTCTTTCTTCAGGTTTCCCACCCATTTCTGATACCCAGTAATCAATAGGTGCATGGTAATGGGCGGCTTGGCCTTCTTTTGTCGTTTGGGGTCCGCTGCTTCGTCTTCATCGTGGTCGTCCTCGGCCTCCAACGATCTCCGCTTTTTGCCGTTGTTCAGCACCACACGGTCCTCGTCTGTTACTCGGCGACCTCCGTAAATGACACCACCGACGCGCTTCTTCTCCTTCTCGTACAAGGCCAGATCCGGGGCGTAGTCATGAAGTCGGGCAGTAGCGGCATCTTTCGACCTTCGACTACTCGTCGACGACGGGGTTTCATTCTCCTTGCCTTCAGACGTGAGTCGCATTCGTGCCGGCGTCTGCAACTTTCTACTGTCCGAGTTCTTTCGCGACTTCGTCGACGCGCGTGGTGTTGTGGTAGACCAGGCCTCCGACATTTCGCTGTCTTGCTCCGATGCTTTCTCCGACAGAGGTTGTTTAGCTGCTGGTGCTGCTGCCGCGGCGGTGTTCTGGTTCTTCGCTTGCATCGGTCGAGGCGCGGGGGGTTCCGTTGAGTCTTCCGAAGGGTAGAAGATGGTTTCCAACACCTGTTTGTCCAGTCGCGTTTGTCCGACCACTTCGCCGAGGTTGGTCCTGCGGGGGAAGTGGTTGTAGCGGTTATCCGAGACCGGTAGTAGTTTGCATTTTGCGTAGCATTCTTCGAGCCAGAGGTGGTTGACGACTTGAAGACCCCACTCCCTCGCTGCGCTGCATTTTTCGCTGTTTCCGTGCGCCGTTACTAGGTGAGTGTTATCTTGTTTCAGGGTCTTGGTGCATTCGGCCCCGGTTGCTGCGATGAGATTCTCCAAGTAGGCTCGGGCTTCCCCGACGTAGTTCGAAAGACTGATTTTGAACCCTTTGAATCCCGGGATGCCGGTACGCGAGACTGGGTAGTGCAGTAGTCGCCGGAGGGGCGATGTCCAGGTATTGTAGGTCATCAGATGGTACAGCCAGGACAGGTTTCCGACGTCCTTGCCCAACCGAGACGCCATCCGATAGGCCACACCCTCTCTGTAGCGGCAGATCAAGAGGTCTGCTTCCGGGACATCAGAAGTCATGGAGCCTCCGCCCTGCTTGATGATCTCGCCAATCGACTCTATCAAATGCGGACCAATGCCAAGGTCTGTGGACAACATCACCCGTTTCCCTTCAAACACATCAAGCTTGGGTCGAGAATTGGGAGACATCACGTTCGGGAGGGTAGTCGGCTCCGGTGTCGACGCACCGACAATATCGCGATTCTCGACAGAACGGATCGGCGCATCGGGACCTGCACGTAGGATTTCCGGGTCGGGGAGCGTATACGGGCGTTCGTCAATTCGTCGTCCGAGTTTGAGGCAGTCGTCGAACCTAACGATGACATGTTAGAGAACCCATACAGGGATCGATCAGCCATAAAATACACCTGCGAAAACATACCAGTGGGGCAGAACGATTTTGGCATGCAACTTCTTGGTAATCGCGATGCGAGCCTTGTCGGAATCCACGGTCAAATCCACCAGGTGGGTGACCATGTGCGTCATGCGAGGACTATACAGCCCACCTTTCGCCAGCACGCCCCCCACGATGGCATCCTTATCGCCCTCCGGGATGTCCCCGCAGGTGACGACGACGTCGTTCAGAAACAGACGAGGATCGGGACTGTATTGCCGGGGGTTGGCTAGTTTTCGCTTCGAGAGACAGGCATGCAGCCATTGCGGTTTGACGACGGGAATCAGGGAGTCGTTGGCTGTATCGAAGGCCGGAAAGTCGGTGGTGGAGGACACGAGGTGGGTGAATTCCTCTAGTGGGGGAAAAGTGGCTGGATGTTCGTAGATGACGGATTCGCCGCCGTTTTCTTCGAGGATTGATGCATACTACCCGTCCAGAGAGGTCAGTGTCTACGGTTCCTTGCGGGGACGACAAGTCGACGAAAATGTCGCATACCTGGTGTGCCGCATCGAGAGTTAGGTCTTTTGAGCAGACGATGCAAACGCGGCACTGATCGAAGAGCTGGAACTCCTCGTGGCCCGCCATAGTGGAGGCAATATCTGGTGGTGGGTTGTCTGTGAATATGGAGATGACAAAAGAGGGTCACGACCGACGAGAGGAAGAGAGGGAGGCGAAGATGGAGTTGACCGAATGATTTGCGATGCGACGCGCCGGCGCGTCGGCGAGACACCAGGTCACGTGGTCCCCTCGCCACGGCGATGCATCACATTCGACCGATCATCGGGCAATTTCAATTTTGCAAATGAGTCCTGTCAGCGGGATTCTTGCAGCTAGCGACAGATCAATTATCGTACAGAGTACGTAAATAGGTTTGCACGTAGGCTCATGGGCCATCGAGAGGCCGGTATGTCAGTCTACTTTATCTGCCGAGAACTATTAACTAGCATATTTCCTGTTTACGTATTAGTGTTCCTGTGCTAGTACTACAACTAAAGAATCCTCTTTTTCCCCGCGAAAAACGAACAGACTAGTTAATGGTTGTGCCAATTACATGAAGTCATCAAAGCAAGGCATCGGCAGCGCATGTCGGTCATATTCCCGCCAGCGCGAGATCCTCGGCTCGTCGCAGATCGCCGGCAAACCCACTCCGCGAACCACTGGGGACTTTCTCTTTCTTAAATTATTTGAACACAACTACGGCTGGAAGATATAGTGGCCATCATTTATCCTTTACACTATTCTATATATTTATCTTTTTCTCCATTTATATACATATATGCTAGACGATATGTCCGCGCCGTCGGCCTCCTCCGGGCCCTTTCGCATCGTCGACCATGTCGTGCCCTGCCAGCATATCCGGGAGTATCCCGCGGCCACAGCCAACGAACAGGAAGACGAGCTGCAGATGGCGGTGAAACAGTACATCCCTCTGGACAACCCGAATCCTCAGCCAGGGGATGTGACGATTCTGGCGGCGCATGCAAACGGTTTCCCCAAGGTACGAACCGGCAACCCGCGCTGCTCTGTCGCCGGCGTCGCATATGGCTGATCGCAAGGGGCCTAGGAACTCTACGAACCGCTATGGGAGGAAATCCACGCTCGCTCTAAGGCAAATGGGTTCCGGATCCGAAGTATCTGGATGGCCGATGTGGCGCATCAAGGACAAAGCAGTGTGATCAATGAGAATCATCTAGGGAACGACCGTAGGTTGCCTTCCCCGGGGAGATGTCAATGGCACTGTATCCGAAACTGACTCGCTTCACGACAACAGCTAGCTGGTTCGATCATCCAAGAGACCTTCTCCACCTGGTCAATGTCAAGCGCAAAGAAATGCCGCGTCCCATCGTCGGAATTGGCCATAGCATGGGCGGCGCTCATCTGTCAGTCATTTCCCCTATCATCCCAACCCCCCGGGACAACTCATACTCTCCGAAACTTTCGCTGATGATACCCCCATGACAGCGCGCGCGTCTGTCTCATGCACCCCCGTCTCATCCACACCCTCGTGCTTCTCGACCCCGTCATCCAACGACAAACGACCCAGCTCGATCCCCTCGAAATCGCCCGCCAGAAACTCGTCATCGCCAAAACCACCCAACTATCCACCTACCGTCGAGACCGCTGGCCCTCCCGAGCCGCCGCCGCCGAGAGCTTCCAGCGCAACCCGTTCTACCAAGCATGGGACCCCCGCGTCCTGGAACGCTGGATCCAATCCGGCCTCCGCGACCTCCCAACAGCCATCTACCCCGTCGAGACCACCGACGCCAACACCAACAACGACCGACCCGTCACGCTCACCACCCCCCTCCACCAAGAGGTCTTCACCTTCTCCCGGCCCAACTACGACGGTCCTCCCGGTAAAGACGTCCCCGTGAACCGGGTCACGCATCCAGACCTCAACCCGGACCATTTCGGCTCCTTCCCGTTCTACCGGCCGGAGCCGTCGCGCGTGTTCTCGGAGCTGCCGCACCTCCGGCCCAGCGTGTTGTATATCTTCGGCGGGAAGTCGGATATGTGTTTACCGGACATGATGGCCGATAAGATGACGCATACGGGCACGGGTCTGGGCGGTAGCGGCGGTGCAGCCGTCGGTCGTGTTAAGGACGTGTATCTCGAGAAATATGGACATCTTCTGGCTCAAGAAGCACCGGCGGAGTGCGGGGAGGCGGCGAGCCAGTGGCTGGGCAAAGAGATGCAGCAGTGGCGGGAGGAGGAGCAGGCGTTCCGTGCGCAGTGGAGTCGGAAGTCGAAAGTTGAGAAGCAGACCATTGACGCGCGTTGGAAAGAGCACGTGCCGGCGCCGGTGCGGCGGAAGAAGCCGGCTGCCGGTGATGCTTCGAAATCGAAATTGTAATAAGGTAGCCTTGTGAAGGGGCTTCGAAAAGTTAGGTTCATTTGCTCCGACACTAATAGATGGATACAATTGGAATACAACGAGGTATATACGCTATCCCACCCGGACGCCATCTGCGTTGATTACTCTATACTCTATACAACACTTAGGAATGCATTTCATCTTTCGTTTCTCTTCTCTAAAAATAGAATCTAGTCAAACCAACCGACGTGACGTCTATAGAAGACTTGGCAGAATCGTGAAGTCAATCACAACTTGCCAACGGCCTGAGGCGCCAGGCCCCAAGATTCTCAAACCGGTACAAAAAATAGAAAACAAGGAAAGGGGTATATTCCGGGGAAACCAAGATCAGTTAGACTTCTTGACCGCGCCATTCTCGGTCTTTCCCTTCGGACTAGCCCGGATGATCTCAGGGAAATTCCAGAAATGAGGCCACCAAAGGTAGTACTCTTCCTGTCGCTCGTTGAGGCAATGGCGCAGCCAAATTCCCCAGATGATATATAGATACGCCCCGATCCCGGTCATGACATGCCTTGAAAAAGGGAGAACGTAGGTTAGCGTATATTTCAGGAAGTGTTTCGCCGTTGAGAAGCGAAAGGGCAAGGTCGAACATACCACCATCCATGACCCTCCAAGAAAACACCCCACGGAAGACCCACTACCCGGCGCCATCCGCGGATCTCCGTACAGAAGTGGTTGTCCAGATTCCAGATGAAGAAGCCGCCCAGAAACAAGCTCAGCCCGTAGACCACCATGAACCACATGGTCTTCAGGATTTTCGTGTCCCGCACGTTCTCGTAGTGCTGATGTTCCTTGCTCGGGACGGGGAGACCCTGTCGTTCGCGCGCCAGCCGATCCTCCTCGGTGGAGTGCCGCCACTTCGGGCGCAGCGTCACCTCCATGGTGAACATGCTGCGCAGAACCACCACGGTCGTCAGCAGAGCGTAGGCATTCTGGTGGAACACGGGGTCCTGGAGATAGTGGTAGTAGAGGGTGATGAAGACGGCCAGAAAGGCCAGGGAACTGGCCAGAACGACGCGAATCAGGCTCGGTCGCCGGTAGGAGAAAGAGGCATAGGCCATCAAGCAGGTGGTGTAGATCATGGACAGCTCATCGACCAGCTGCATGGGATCTGTACGAAACGAATGTGATAGGTCAGCGATTGGTCCGTTGGATTCTTAAGAAGTTGTGTAATGCCCGACAACCAACTTGCATTTGAGAGTGGAGTGAAAGAGAAAGCTCCCGGTTCCGACCAGAAGGTAGCCGCAGTAGGCGACCTGGAAGATGGAGTCGTGGCCATGACGCCGACAGCTGAGAAACCCCTTCACTCCGAGCCACATGAACAGTAGGTTGGTGAGGGTGTTGATGATCTCGGCGGAGTAGATGGTGGCATAGTAGTCCTGTCGAGCGATCGCATGAGTATGACGAGGTCAACAGGCATCTAAGAGTGAAACTGCGCGAATATACACACCTCTTCGCACCAGTTTAGAGTAGAGGTGACGGGACTCCAGTATCCAGCCTTCGCAGGCGGATATGGGAAAGACCAGTCAGGCATTGGAGACACCGGTCACCGGCACACCGCGGGACGGAGGGGGTAGTGGAGGGGGGGAGGTAGAAAGAGAGAGGAAAAAAGAAGAGGATCACGGCAGTGCGGGCATGATAGACAAGAAAGAAAGAGAGAGGGGAAGAGAGGAAGAGAAAGAAAGGCAAGACTGCCTGAATGGCCAGGCGTATTACTAACGCGAACTTTCCTTCTGGACGGTGACGTCGATTTACGGAGTATTCTTAGTAGTGCCCGCCACCCATTGGATTGCACGCAGGCATTCCTGATGCAGTGTTATGCAGGCAGCTGGCAGGTGGTTCGCCGCAGGGTATGAAGAGTGATCTTTCCCAGGTACACTTGAGTCTATGGCCTGTCAATCTCGTGGAATTCGGAAGATGAGTGAGTGTCAAGTAAACTCCGTACAAGTGCATCCTGTCAATCTGAAGGAACCTCGGATGTGGAGTCCGACTGGATGACTAAGCCCGCGGAATGACTTCACCGTTGCTTTTCTGGAGAAAATCCGTCCGGCTTCTCGCGTGCCTGATCCGGTCTCCAGTTTTTCACCTTGACCGCTTGACATGTCGTTGCTGATCATCTAGCGGTCTGTCCCGTGGATTTTCTTTTACCGTCTATGGCTAAGCCCTGTTTTGCTTGATTTTCTTCCTCTCTTTCTCTTCTTTCATACCTCCGTACCGATCGTCTCTATAGCCATTATTAGCCATACCAATCGCTCTTGAAATCCCCCGATATCCCCGGGGGAAGGGGTTTCAAGCGATGGCCAACAATGCGGCATATAAGATGCCGCAAGTGAAGACCACGTCTACATGTATGGTTCACTCCCTCCGCCCCAATCCACCCATTGCAATTGCTGATCCAAGTCCTCTCGCACAGCATCCAAGACCACCTTCCACTTCGCCGCCGGCCTCTGCTCCGGCCTCACCTCCTCCATCCTCCTCCAACCCGCCGACCTCCTCAAGACCCGCGTCCAACAGTCCCAACAAACCGCCGCCCTGCTCCCCACCCTCAAAGCCATCCTCTCCTCCCCCAACCCAATCCGCGGCCTATGGCGCGGGACCTTACCCTCCGCGCTCCGCACGGGATTCGGCTCCGCCCTGTACTTTACCAGTCTAAATGCCCTCCGACAAGGACTAGCGCAAACCCCAACGACGAGTGCTCTCGCCGCGACCCCCGGAACCGTCGCCTCGTCGTCCGCGCTCCCCAAACTCTCCAACTCGGCGAACCTCACCACCGGCGCCGCCGCGCGGGTAGCGGCCGGCTTCGTCATGATGCCCGTCACGGTGCTCAAGGTGCGCTATGAGTCGGATTACTACGCCTATCGCAGCCTGTACGGCGCCGCGCGCGATATCGTCCGCACCGAGGGCTTTCGCGGCCTGTTCTCGGGATTCGGCGCCACGGCGGCCCGCGACGCGCCGTACGCGGGTCTGTACGTTCTGTTCTACGAGCAGTTGAAGCGAAGGTTTGCGTCGGTGGCAGCGGCACGGGAGGGGAACGGGAGCGTCGACCAGCCGCTCGGGTCGTCGTCGTCTTCGTCGATTAATTTCGTCTCCGGGGCGTTGGCTGCTGGTTTGGCCACGACGATCACGAACCCGTTCGATGCCGTCAAGACCCGGCTGCAGCTGATGCCTGGGAAGTATGGGAATATGATGCGCGCGGTGCGCCTGATGGTCCATGAGGATGGGGTGCGCAGTTTGTTCGGTGGTTTGGGGCTCCGCATCGGTCGGAAGGCGCTGAGCTCGGCGCTGGCGTGGACGGTCTACGAGGAGTTGATTCTCCGTGCGGAGAAGCATTGGGCGGCGCAGAGTCAGGGCCAGGCCCATGTATAATGATCTGTTTTTTTTTTTTTTTTTTTTGTTTTTAACGCACTATGTATTTATATATGTCTGTTTGAGCTCGCCCTTTGTTGGAGTTTATGATTTGTGGCGTTTCAAGAAGAGAAAAAAGACTTTGGAATGGCCATCGATAGACATTTGGTTTGTTGCATGTCATGTCATACTGTGTCGAAGTGGATCTTCAGATGACTGGATCTATCTGGGTTCTAATATAACAGCACTCCTCTCAATAGAAAGAAAATACGAATTGCATGTAGATACCTATTCGTACGTATCCGTCTGTCTGTACACCGTACATCTTAAACCGCAGATATATTACTAACTACCAAGTCGACCAACCAACTAAGAGCTAAGAGCCTTCAGCCAGGTTTCCAGGACAGCGTTTGGTTTCCAACGAGTCATGTCAAACAGTTCCCCGCTCACAACATTCCTAACACCCTCACCGACAACAACCGGGCTATCATCGCTCAACTGGCAAGTAACGAGAAGCACAGGATCGTGTTCCCTCGAAGTCGCGCGCCGGTCGAACAAGACACGCTGCACGGCCCGCTGGCCGTCGGCCAGTCTTTCTCCGGGCAGATGTACAATAGTGCCCGGTAGGGCGACGTGTCGCGGTATTTGTACACCATGCCGGGTAGCTGGCCCGTGGTGCTAGGAAGCGGACGGGTCTCGGTGCGGTTGTTGCAAGTCTTCCACATCTGCATCTGCTCTTTGTAGCTGCCCGGAGTGGCTTTTTCGCTGCTGTAATGCGACATGAAGTCGTGGTGGCTGGCGCCGGAAAGGAAATATAGATCGAACCGGACGATATGCTCGGGCCGGATCTTAGTTGCTCGTATAAACCCTTCATCTCAACATGCTCAGAGGAAGCCTGGGCATGGGTGAAGTAAGCCGCATAGGAGAAAAGCGGAGGTAGTGGGTATTCTGCTAGGTTCCAGAAAACCATGCGAGCGGGCTTCCTTGAATGATCTGTGAAGGGAACGGCGTGGATTTTCACTTCTCTTGGTCTACCTTCTCCGCCATAGGGGCCATATTCGTCGTCACTATTGTCATCGTCGTCGTCATCGTATATTTCCTCTGTTGGGTGGAGAACGAGCTCTTCATGATCTCGGAACCTTTTGGGGCCAAGACGAACTGGTCGGCGCGTTGATGTCCATCCTCTCTCATGTAGAGTGTCTTCGCCCACAAGTCTTGACGAATCCCGTCATGTCGAAGCTGGTCACCGTGCTGGATTCGGAACTCAACGCCGTTTTCGTTGCATTTTTGTTCAAGGGCTTGGAGGGAAGCTCTGAAATCCTCAGTCTCGAGGTCATAAAGGCCTCCCATGTCCTCCATAACAATGGTTCTCAGACAGGGGAAGTCTGGGCTAACCAAGTCTTGTAACTGCGTAGGCAATTCTGGGGGAAAACCATAGTCATTATATCTGTAGGTGGTCAATGACTCCAGGGTGGGTGGGAGCGTGTCTTTTGGGAGGTAGGGAGGTGGCAAGTCTTCGTCGTCGTCGTCAAGTAATGTCTGTAATTGAAGGCTGACATGCTTCAGGCTCGAGAAGTCGCGTAGGGGAATAAATCGACCAGAGCAGGCGGATATAGTTCCGAGGCCATATAAGTCGATGTCGATCGTTTCAAGGTTTGTTTTGTGCGCAAGAAGACCTTTCCAAATCTCATCCTTCAGAACCAAAGGCTCATCGAGATCAAACCACAGGTCGAACTGCAGGGAGAGTGAGAAATTTTTCAAGGTCTTGGGGAGTCCAATTATGGCGTGGATGTCTAAATTTGTGTGGAAAGTCCCAGCAAACTACCAGGTCAAGATTTTCGACGGTAGAAGGACCAGCACTAGGCCCTAGCAAGACGCTCGATTGATCTGGATCGACATCGTACAAGCGAAGTGTCTGCAAGCTCTGTAAATGGAAAATGGGCCAAAGACCATCGAAGTACAAAGAGCTTGATGTCGACGGGCCTTGAGTTCCTTGATACGACCGTCCTCGTCCGAATCTTCAGAGTCGTCGTCGGAATCTTGCTCAGGTAGAGGGCGGGAACACGGGGATTTCTTGAATTAGATTTATCTCCTTGAGATGGCGAAGTGATGCCGATAGGCTCTTATTTGTCTGACAAGCGATGACATGTTCAAGCACCATCCAGAGGACAGGATCAGACCGTGGCACGTGAGCAAATAATGTTGAAAGATTGGGCAAGGAAATTAGTAGGAGTGCCATCACAGGTCGACGATCTCGCTTGGCTAGACCTTCTAGGATACTGGATTCAAGATAACCGATGCCTTTACCGTGAATGACGCGTATCACCATTTCTAATTCCTCCAAAGGGAGTTTATTATCCCGACTAGGAGTATAGGCGTAGTCAAAGTACCCCCAATTGCCGATATTCAATGTCCGCACCATGCTGCTAGGTTGGGGTTGCGACGCATTGTTCGTAGAAATTTCCAGAGCGTCATGAACGGTTGCCTAGCTCCATTGAACGTCCATTTCGAGTAAATTCGACCCAAAACTGTCGCATACCAGCAACGATTCAGGATGGAGAGACCGCAGAGGCGTTGATTATCCGACTCGTCTCGGAGGGCTAGATCGAGCACCATGCTGAAGAGCTCGTTGGGGAGATCCGCCGGATCAAGCATTATGAATATGCGGTCGGAGTGAATAAATATGAGTAGGGGTTTGATGGCGTCTTGCGACTTTGGCAATGTAGGGGATTAAATTTGTGTCTGACGATGGGTCCTGTTTGTTGTACCAGACAGCATAGGTCCCAATCGATGCCTGGTCCTGATGGTCTGTGGACCCATTTTAGGACTGGTTGAGCTGGTACACTATCCCGAAAGAAGTTAGTGGGCATTCCATCAGATCTTTGTAGCTCCGTGCGTGGATCCTCCCCGACTGAGTATGGGATGCCTAAGAGGCCATGATACTGTTGAAAACCAAAATTCGTCATAAAATTATCGTGTGTATCGTGTTTATCGTATGAAGCTATGTTATCAGAATTCCAACTCATAACAAGGAAGTAAATATCAACATATCATATCACATCTTGGGACATGTCAAGAAAGAAGGAGAAAGAAAAACCCTAAGCAATAGTATATAAAAACCAAGTTGAGATTCAGAAAGACCAAAATCAGAATCGTCAAGGTGAGCTGCGAAAATAAACCGAAAACAAACATAGCGAGGTATCAATTTAGTGCCGTGCAATTGCCGATGTTCGATCATGTAAAGATCCAAGCCCGCCGGCTGGGGCTCTTCTTCCGGACAAGGAACATCTTGTCTTTCTTCTTGTCGTTGACCTTCAGCTCCGTCAGAGTGTTTGAGCTCTGGGTAACGAGTTTACCCTCGCGCAATCGTCGAGAATGGGCAAAGAGCTCTTCCTGGAAGTCTTCGCTGATCCATTGCTTGATGATGATGTAGTTGCTGTCCAGCTGTAGTTGATGAGCAGTTAGCATGGTTTTCGTGGTGAATGTTAATTTGGGACGACTTACATCATCCCAGTCCCAGGGCAGGCGATACGCAATCAAAGTGTCCGGAAGAAGATGCTTGCGATGGACCTGAAGCCGATGTCAGTCAGGCACATGGTATGGAGATAGGTAGACGTGGTGGAGTAGGTCGTACCTTAATCCAAGTGGTCCGTTGATGGTCAACTTCTTTTTCTTTCTTTCCCTCATGCTCATGATCACTCTCGTCCTTCTCCTTCTCCTTTTCCTTCTCTTTCTCTTTCTCCTTGTCTTTGTTCTTCTTTTTCTTTTCCTCCTTCTCCGGGTGCTTCTTCTTGTGGAGGAACTCGTCAATCTCATCCTCCGTATATCCAAATTCCATTCTCAATCGAAGTCTGAACTCCTCATCCCGCCGTCTCTTCTCCTCACGCTCGGCAATCATCCGGCGTTCCTCGTTCAACTTCCATTCCTCGACGGCGGCCGCCTTCATCATGGCCTCCTTGCGCTGCTTCTCCTGCTTTTCGATCAACAACCTTGCCTCCTCATCCCGGATCTCCTTCTTGACCCGCTCGCGTTCTTCCTCCTCATCGATCTTACGCTGGAGTTCCTTCAACTTTTCCAAACGCAGCTTGGCCTGGACTTCTTCATCCTCTGCTGCTCGTCGCTGCGATTCCTCGAACTTGCGCAGTTTATAACGGTGCTCCGCATGCCGTTGCTCCTCATCCATGCGCTGTTTCTTCTCGAACCGCTCGAGCCGCCGTAGTCGATCGCTGATCTCATCCTCATACCAGTCCTCCTCGGCCTTCAGAAGACGGGTTTCTTGGTGGGGGTCGCGGTTGCGTCCCAGTTCCCGCTCCAGGCGCTCAATCTCCTGCTGCTGTCTGAACAACTCGAGGTCCTGTCGGGCGTCGTTCCTCTCCAGCATGCGCTGATCAATCAGCATGTCATAGTCACGATGATGCTGTGGCGAGGCGGTCTCATAGCGCGGCGAGGCATCTCGCGAGATATCGCTGGTGCTGGCACGGGGGCGACGGTGGTTTCGCAGCACGTGCTCGTCTTCAGACTCGTAGGGATCGATGAATTCTTGATGGTGTTGTTGGTTCTGGTGTCGCCGGTTTCTGTTGGAGCTCTTGTTGCGGGAATCGTTCTTGATGTCGACGATGACGGCCGGAGGCTGGCTGACGCGCTCGGGCTCGTTGCGTCGTCGACCGCCAGTCGATGCGGAGCGATGGACGTGCACGTCCTGCAGCACAGGACTCAGGTAGGTGTTGCTATGGTCGGGGCTGAAACGATGACGAGAGACGGAGCGTCTCCGATAAGACGTTCTCTGACGGGGAATCTCCATGGAGACGTCTGATTCTGAATATTCAGTTTCGGAATCGGTGACCGGAGCGTATTGGCGTCTCATATTCTGATAGGAGTTGCTTGTGGAGGAAACTTTCGCTCGTTGTTGATTTCCTTTTTCACTGATGTTTCTGTGGGGAAAAGGAAAAGACAAAAAAGATTACTTCTTCTTGGTTCTGATGGACGTTATATAGATTTCTTTCTCGGATGGCCTCCGTTCGCAGGATGAGTCGATTTAAAAGCGGACGATCGGGATGGAAAGGCTCAGGCGGAAATGATTAAAGCGGGGTGAAGCAGTGACGTAAGGTGGGAATGGGACCCGGCAGGAACATCAGATAATGACAGGAATTAACTAGTGGCCGTTAATCTGGGAAGTCCCCGGGATAAGAAACGCCCCGGACAGGGAACGGAGGCAAGGAGGGGAGTCTGGAGGCGAAGGAAAAGCACGAATCCGACGAATCCCGGGATGAAGAGAAGGAAGAAGGAGAGAGAAGGAAAGAAGAGAAGAAACGAGAAAAGATGCGAGAAGAGAGAGACTAGAAAGCCTCAGCTGAAAGTGGGGGGAAGGGCGATTCCTGTGATTTGTTACGGGCGGGCGAAGGCGTTTTGGATGGGCATCATTGGATCAGCCTGATCATCGGGCTGGCACTTGCTTCCTTCCGCCTCTTTTGCCTCTTTCCCGTCCTCTGGAAGTACTCCGGAGTTCACACGGGAGACTCGTGGTGGCTGGGGAAGTAGGTCACTTTATCTACGTTCCTCTACCAAGGTACTGTACCTTCGTATCTACTTAGTAGAACCTACTACTATTATTAGTAGCCCTCCATACTAGAAACCCCCCGGTTCCTGCGACTCTCCCCAGCGGTTATTCGAAACTCAACGTTAAGAGGCTCTAGTCCAGTGCTTTGATCTGATATCCGACGTTTCTTGTTTCTTGTTCTCGTCCGTTGGTTGGGAGGTTTTCCCCTGCGCGGGAAACGCAGTGAACCCAAGGAACTCAGGCGGTTAATCCCGCAGACCCAGTAAACCTTGATCGCCATCACGTTAACAGGGCCGACAGATCTTCTGACGGGTTGGTGTGACCTGCATCTCTTGTCCCCTCTGGCTCGAGATCCGTGGTGGGTTCTGGCATGTTCCGGTTACTACACAATACCTACTACCTACAGGGAAGGGCTGGGCAGCGAAATCATCCTCCAGGACTGCATGACGGACGACCATATCCACCTTCGCTGCCTGACCCATGGACTTGCTGCCCCTTAGGCAGCGATTTGGGGTCCTTGTTGCTGGTTCTGGCGTCTCGCCGTGTTTCATGGTTTGCATGGCGATTGGGTTCGGGAAATAGGTAAGGAAGATCGAGTCAGGTACCGCCACGGAGATTAATTTAATCTATTTTATGATTTTATCGAAATGAGGTGCTATCTACGAGAGCTGGTGGGCCTGGTTTCGGTTCGATCTGAGCCATACAGATCGAATTTCGCCGTACACAGTAGATGGTACGGAGTAGAGTATAGGGCAGGCTGCAATATGGATCCATGTCCCCACTCAACGGCCGCAATGGACGCCCCCATAGGAACTGCGCCTCTGGTCCTGCCAGATTCACCGCGGGGAGTCATCGACGCAGCAAGCGCTCAACCTACTCCATGGCCCATGCCCATCCATACCCAGACAGGCGTTGAGTAGCCTCGGCCAACCATTCCTCGATCTATTTCGGTCCCCCTAGAATAGATCCCGACCGTCCACTTCTTCTTGTCCAGCCCCTTTTCAGAACAGACTTATATTGCACGCCGACCTTACCAGCAATGCCGAGCCAAGAAAGAAAAATCATCACCGCAATAACTCCAAGCGTAGATATGAATAAAGAATGCAAATTAACAGAACTGACCAACAGCGGAGCACCTAATCAGGCCCTATCGCCTGACTTCAAGATCCGCTCGAGGTTCTCCCGACCATTCTTATGCGTCAATTCCAGCGAGGACAGTTTCTTTTCCAGGCCCGAGATATCCGACTTCAATTCCGTACTCTCGGTTGAAAGGCGCTTATCGACTGTGTTCATCGGGACGCTCATGAACCTGACGATTTGTCAGAGTTAGATTTCGGTCCCAATCAGACATCGAGAAGTCACTGTTGCCGCTGGGGGGAAGCCCAACTCACATCTTGCCCACTCCCTCATACACGGGGGTCTCCTTCGGCAGCGAACTAATCTCCTTTGACGTCAACTCCAGCATACGAATGTCTCTCTGTTTGGTTGTGATTTGCGCCTTGGTGATGCCGATCTGCTGTTGGGAGGCGACGATGCGGGTCTCGAGCTCTTGGAGGAGCTGTTCATCAGGGAAGTTAGCATGCTGTGGACAAATCTGTAATAGACGCTGCTATATTGAACCGGGGCGGGGGAGTTCACCTTCTGCAAAGCTTCGTTGGGGATGGACATGTTGGCGCGTAGATGGGGGGTGATGAGGGGTCAGCGAGGGGCTGGTTTGCAGTAGTTTGTTTCGGGAAGCGCTGGTTCTCAACGCGTTCGAGGACTTTCGGAGACTGGAAATTGAGCTTTGCCAGTGTAGTAGAGGGTATCTGCGCGTGGGGGTGGATGCTCGAAAAGGGTATGCTGATAGGAAGCTGGATGAACAACTTATCGGCGACTTAGCTTGGTAGGCTCTGATGTCCGCGGAGGCTGACTACCCGATACGGACATGGAAGTAGGGCTTAGGGTTACCTGTCTCGGCATTTGTATTACTATCTGTATGCTCTACAGAGTAAGTCATTTATTATTTGCTGTGGTTATTGGTTACGAGTATATTAATTTTGAAACTAAAGCCAGATTATCATCACATTTCCCATGCCACTTTGGCCCAATGGACGGAAATATCACTGTTCATACATCATAGATGCTCGCATCCTGGTGTAATCTACTTGCTTGATGGGATCGTACTTCGGGGGCTCATTGTCGTCCGTACAAGACGGTATGCATTCAATTACGGTCTCGCGATCGGTCGTCATAAAATATGGGATAGAGTACCTGTCGCGTGTCATTCGATCGGGGCCCTCGAATCGATCAGCAAGTGGTGGAAGCCGGACTCGGTGATTTGTCGAACGAAGTCGATCTAATAAGGTTAGGTCATGGCCAGTTCTCTCAGAAACAGCAACCGGGTTTTACCATTACTCCATCTCTGAAGTAGATCCCCAACATTCATGACAATCGCGTTTTTTACAGGTTCCACGGGAACGAATGTCCCCGGTCGAGAGATGTCTTCCACCTCTAACCCTCCACAATCATCTTGGAATAGCATCGTAATCGAGCTCCAATCGGTGTGTGCTCCGCAGCGAGTGACACGCTCTTTCTCCAATTCTTCGGCGGGGATGGGCATATAATGAAGCAATCGAATCTGATTTTCATGCCCTGAGTGCTGCTTAGCCAAATAGGACTCGTCGTCCAAATCCAAGCCTACGGCTAAGGCGCGGAGTATGCTGTCGCCGACTTTATTACACTCCCAATAGAACTTGTTCATGAAGGCTCGGAAGCCGGGAAACAGCTCGTCAGGAATCCACTGGTTGGGCTGATCGGCGTTCTCATCACTGCCGATATCATAGACCTCCTGGAGTTTCATTATTATACCGAAGGAAACCCTTCATTCATTACCACGCCATCACCTACCTTGGCATCTGGGATCTCCCTCATCTTCCGCTTTATTTCCTCATCATCTCCGGTGCTAAGGTTCTGCGAGACCTTTTCGAACCCCGGAGGCGAGTACCCTCGATGAACAGCCCAGCCTTCTGGATGAGGGGCTTTCATTTTCACCTCCTCGGGCAGATCGAAGAGACGTTTGGCCCATGAGAATGCCTCGTCCAGGACCGATTCCGGCAGAGAATGGTTTACTATGTAGACGAAACCGACTCTTTGGCAAGCTTCGACCAATTCCTGTGCCACTCGCAGCCGGCTAGGTTTGTCATGGTGGTCGTTCCACGAAGAGAAATCCACTCTGGGGATCCTCATCGGAATAAAGGCATCGATCGAAGACATGTTACCCTGGGAAGAGGCCTGTATCACGGGCGAAACTCGTCGAGGGCATTTAAACGTGCAAGACTAGATGCTGTAGAATCAAAGCCTTGGTATTACTCAGGCTTGATGAATGTCGCGACGAAATGAAATCGCAAACAGCGACCGGGAATGATCCTCCAGGGAGAAGGTAAGCACGTAGTACCGTGACCCCTCGGTCACATGTTGCAACCGTGATGGACGGAGAACGGAAACTCAATCATTGGATTGGACTGGGAGTACAGATGCCCGATACTTCGTCAGACGGTATACCGGCCAAAAAGATATCGGACCCCTAATTAGCCCCATATTTGAATTCTGTCTAGGCCTTCAATGGCTCAGTGTCAGTATGGAGTATCCATACTAGGTGCCTCTCATCAGGACAGAGCAGATTCTTTGCGGTTCACCGGACTGACGTATTACTTACGTTCGGTGATGGAATAAATATAGAAACCGAAAAGAAAGAAAAAAGAAAAAGAAAAAGAAAAATTCACCCGTCCACGGAGTCCGATGGACTCATTTACAGGAAGCGTGAGAGTTAAGAAACGGGCGGGTGGTTGGGCATGGCGGTCCACCACGGGCGACGCTCCGTTGCTGTGGCAGGGATCCCGGTGGAGATTGCGCTGGCAGCACAGCACCGGTGCGTAACTACATCATCCACCTGTTCCGGTCTGGATTCTTTCCGAAGAAATCTATCGTCAGTGCCCTCTTGGAAGTGTCGATTCTAGCGCCCAGTGAGTATTCCTCGTTGATCTCGTTCCTTGCCTTTTGGCGATCGCCCGCCCGCTTATACTTACTTACATTTGCCATTTTGAGTAGTTTGTTGATCAACCCCGATCTCCTGTCGCATTTGGTCCAACGCTCGAGACGTACCACGCATTCGACGCTCGACCGAGTTATTTGATCGAGACCCCGATCCGCTGGTCGATATTGGTATCTTGATATACAACGTGGCGGGCAGACGATAGCCCCAGGCCGCTAAGGATGAAGTTATCTGGGTGGATCTCGGCCACATTCCTCGCCTCGACCGTTTTATCGATAGAAACCCTCCCCTTTTCTCCTCCGGAGACGCCAGAGTCCGGACAAGGAGCATATGACATCCTCCGGCGGTTATTGAAGCGAGATGGCGACTGTCCGGCCGGGTACAATGCCTGCTCCAACATGGATAAAGACGACATCTGTTGCAGGCAGGGCTCCAAGTGTGCTCGTGACGAAGCCGACAACATCGCCTGCTGTCCGACCGGAGCAAGCTGCACGGGGAGTCTAACAGGAGGGTCTACGGGTGCCGGAGCGTCCAGCACGAGCTTCCGATTCCCCAAAACCGCAACGGCGACCCAGACGACCGCTCCGAACGACGCTACGATCACCGGCTCAACGTTGCCCGGCGCTTATCCTTTCATCTACGTCCCTACCTCGTTCTCGAACGCCGGCGTGTGTTCGTCCTACTATTCCAGGTGCGAAGACGACTATACGCGATGTCTGACATCGCTGGGCGGGGGCTACGCCGTCACAGTGGGTGGCGACGGCGGCGGAGTCACTCGCGAGGGTGGCTCAAAGCCGTCTGCAGTCTCGACCTGTTCCAGCTTGAGTCAAGAAGCCTGCCATGGGCTCAACCTGGGATACTGCGGGACGTATCATACTCAGACCGATGATGAAAGCCGAGGCAGTTCAGGGCGGACCACCAGTCTGCAGGATCTCGTCTTCGGCGTGATCATTGGAGCGGCCGGAATGCTCGTGTGAGACCTGAGCGCTCTTTTCTTTTCAAAGTGAATATAAGATGTGGGGATACTCCTATTTGTTCTTGATTTTTTTCTTTCTTCCCCTACGTTTCTGAGGCGCATGTTTCACTCTGCTATTCTTGGGTGTACATTTGTGCCTTGAACCTTGCTTATGGATAATGGGTTACTGAACGATGATGATGCTATGTTTCGAGGTCTATGGAAAGACTGTAAATCTATCAATACGGTTATGTTTATTAAAATTTGTACATAGGAGAATTAGCAGATGAATAACCAAATGTTTCTTACAATAAATCATCACGAGTCGGATACGACGTGGTAATAGGTCACTCCGGGGCACCCGCTCCTCGTTCACGTATCTAACCTGCAGTCAGCACACCGCATAATCACATCGCCTCGTCAGTGCAATCTAGTCCAGTCCAGTCCAGTCCAGTGGCAACAATCAAATGGATTAACGCACACACCGCACTCAACTCGGGCCCTGAAACCAACAACGCCCGATTGGAAGCCCAGACCAACCATACCACACCCCAGGTGCGTGCAACTAACCGGTTCCAGTATCTATCTTCCTACATAAGGTAATTTTAGGTGGCCGTTCCTACATCCCTCCGGCCAGTGAAGACACTGAACCCCACCAAGGGGAGGCGAAAGGACCAATGCCATGGCCCAATGCCAAGTCAGACTTCTGACCGAGACTGGGCAGTCATGATAGGTAAGCCGACCACGTCAGGCAGGTGAAGTCATCAGTACAGTAGGTAGGTAAGTACATAGGTACCTAAGTGGCCGCTCAGAGTCACTTCCGTAGTTGATCCGGCCAAATCAGGTTGGGCGATTAGGTTTTGGTTTCAGGGACTAGAGCCTAGAGTAAGATACTATACGGAGTACAGATAGTTCTGGATACACCGACACTACTCCGTAGACTCCGATCATGCGGGATAATTGGGTCGTGATTGTGGCTCAGTTGGGTCTCGATTCTTGGACTAACGGGGTTTTGGGTCTGCCGTGTCGACGACATGTTTCGAAGACGGGATCGAGAAGACAGGGAGAGAGAGAGAAGCGGGGAGGAAGGAATCCTCGTCCGCAGTGGGTTAACTGAATTGAGTTTTAGATGGAAGTAGTCAGAGTCAGGGAAGGAGGGGTTAGTTCAGGTGTAAGCAATCAAGGCGGGATGGGACGGTACACCGGGGTATGTACTGTCCATCCGGATTGTCTCTGAGAGCTCAGTTCGAGGGGAAAGAACAGACAAAAAGAAGAGGCTGGGAAGAACGGGCCCACAATGGTCTTGTCAATCTAAATCATCCTTAATTTTAGAAAATCCAAACGGAGGAGTGTTGATGCAAATCCATGGCCGGGAAAATGGGGAGGTTGGGTATGACGGGAGGCTGGGGGAGGATCGTGCATTGATTGTATGCCGGCCATGCGGTGCTTCCCCCCTCGGAGCTGCTCACCACCACCAATTTTCTTCTCCTCCCCCTCCATTCTTTCCTCCTCTGCCATTCTTCTCTCTTGCTGTTCTTTCTTTTCGTTTCTGTCGAATGCCAATTCTGCATTCCATCGATCTTATCTGGTTGGATTACAAAGATATCTACTGTTTGTTTACTAGACCGTGCTTTGTCTTGCTTTGCGACTAAATTCTTGTCGAGGGACTAGATCAGAGCTACCTCGACAGATAAAAGTGTCGCAGGTGGTGAGTGAGCTAGGTGCTTCGGGGATTAAGGGAAGCGCAATAGAAACCTTCCCAGTCGACCTCGTGGATTTTGTCGCATGTTATCGCCATCCGACATGCATACTTCCCGACTACTCCGATCGGCGATCTCGTTATTGACCTTATCAACTCAACTTCATTTCTCTGCGGCATCGCCGGTGGATTTCGACGAGGCCAGCCTGGAAAAGCGCTGCGAAAACCCTTGTGGCTATTACGGTCAGGTCTGCTGTACCAGCAGCCAGACATGCAGTACGAGTAATGGCCAAGCGGTCTGCGAAGACGGCGGCGGCAGCGACGGCGGCGGATGGGAATACCACACGACCACCTGGGTCGTCACCGAGACTGACACCTCGACTTTCACCTCAACATGGAAAACGCGAGCCCCGAAACCAACAGCAACCGGGGGTGGCGGCTCGGGCAGTTGCAAGTCCGACCTTGGCGAGACGGTTTGCGGCAACACCTGCTGCGGAGCTGCATATGTCTGTTCCAACGACCAATGTATCATGGGCAGTTCCTCCATCTGGGCCACCGCTACAGCCCTGCCTCCTGTGAGAGGCACCAGTGCCAGCACCGTCACCGCCACCGCTTCTGCGACAACAACGCAAGCATTCGAGACCCCCGTAGGCACGGACGGAGCGGCCATGGTAGGGGTCAAGGCCCCAGACGAGGGAGGACTCAGCGGAGGAGCAATTGCGGGCATCGTGATCGGATCAATCGCCGGTGCTTTCCTTCTGTTGCTGCTGTTGGCTTGTTTGTGTTGTCGCGGGGCACTGAATTCTCTGTTCGCGTGTCTGGGTATCGGAAGGAGAAGAAGAAAGGAAACGACGTATGTCGAAGATCGGTACTCTCATCACTCGCATGCGCATGGTGGCAGACCCGAGGGACGCACCTGGTTCGGAGCCCGGCCCTCGGCCCCCGCGGATGGTGAGAAGAAATCGAAATGGAGCAGCATGGCGAGCATCGGTATCATCCTCGGTGCGATTGCGCTGTGTCTAGGATTGAAGAGACGCAGAGACCACGACGAGAAGAGCGACTACACCTATCCAAGCAGCTACTACACGTACTCGGATTATTACACCAACACCAGCGCAAGTAAGTGCAGCCTTCTCTCCTCATCACGCCTTTTTCCGATGACTCTTACTAACTGACTGCGGTTTAGGTAGCGAAAGTTCGGATAGGCGGACACGGCGCTCTCGACGATCATACCCACGCCCACCACGTTCACGACGATCATGAGCTTTGACGCAACGGGCTCGATCAATGACTTAATGACCAATGACAATATCGAGTCCCGAGAGCCTCTTTTTCTTTGATGTTTAAAATTCTGCCGGTTCCAGGTCAGAATATGCATAAATGGCGCTAGTTTGGCACGTTGCACGATGAATGTATTATGAAGTTTCGCCCCTCGTGTTGATTTTGATTTTTTTGTCTCTTCCGAAATCTGATGTGTATAATGAGTAATGATTTCATGTGTTAAGGGCCGTTGTTAATGTTTCGCGCGTGTCCTTTTCATTTTTCTTCTCCTTTTCTTTTTTTTTTTTTTTTTTTTTTCTGGGAATCATTTGGACGATTGAAAGACACAGAACGATGTAAAAACGAGACATGAGATAAATTCGAATTTTATGATAAATCATTCTACATATCCGACATCAATTAGCGATTGAAATGGATGTTACTATCGAGGGTGATCTGGCGATGGATGCAAGATTCGGAGTATATTGACCCCGGAGACAAGAAAGGAGATGCAGGTACTACATTTAAGTCGAAGAGATAATATGAAATAAAGCAAGAATAGGGAAAGCAACACATCAACCCGGGTATCGTCTGCATCCCAGCTCACCGATGGTTTGTTGCGACCAGCGCAAGATAGTAGCGAAAATGCTGGATCTTGATAATCATGCACCTGCCGAAGCATCTCGTGCGACCCCCAGTGCGACCTGCAGGGCAGGCCTGGAGAAGCCCAGGGAGCGGAGTTCCAAGGATTCGGCGGGAACCATTCCGAATGAGAGAACGACCGACCACGACGAAAGCCGCGAGAGAAGGTCAATGGCGCGGACTGATCCAGAATGGGAGGAACGGGAAGAGAGAAAGAGAGAAAGAAAGGATCGGTCGGAGGCGAAAAGCGCGGCAGTGGATGCGGAACTACGCTCTCCCCGCCTCCCGTAGCCCGGAACTTCCACTTCGCTCGCCGTCTCGCTCTCTCTCCTTCACATTCGTCGTCCATTATTCATTATTCATTCCATTCATTCCTCAATCCCACCCCCCACACACGGACCACAACACCGTCATTCATGTGCTTGACCTCGGGACCGTGTCCTTGACAGTTCTCGCACTTTTCCTTCTACCACTTCGTATTTTTCGTTCATCTTCTCCCGGTCGCTCGGGACCCTCCATTCTCTCCTGAGGATTACGAGTCCACGATCCGTCCTTCGCCCGCCCGTCATGCTCCAAACGCAGACCTCTCACGTCTTCTCCCATCAGCATCAGTACCCCCAGGCTGATCCGTCCTGGCTGCAGCAACAGCAACAGCAACAGCAGCAGCAACATCACCAAGCCCAGCACCATCCCCACCAGGCCCAGCAACATTCCATAGTGGCCCAACAGCATGCCCAAGTTCAGGCTGCAGCGGCTGCCGCGGCTGCCGCTCAACAACAACATTACAACCGCATTGCCATGGCTTCTAACCCCAGTGGTGCGAATCCAGCACAGGGCGCCGGTGCCGGCGCGATAGGTGGGGATGCTTCTATGCCGGGCGCGGTGTCGGTGATGGATGGCGGGATCAGCGATGAGAACCGCAAGGTCTTCATCTGGGTGGCCGAGCTCCTGGACCCGAACCGCAGAGAGGCAGCTCTCATGGAGCTCAGCAAGAAGAGAGAGCAGGTGCCTGAGTTGGCGTTGGTCATTTGGCATTCATTCGGTATGGGTCACCACCCTCGCGGCGACGCTATCGAGATCCTCGTTCCCTGAAGATAGTCGTTGAGAGTACGCGATTGGCTAACTTGCGTTGCTTTAACAGGTGTCATGACTGCTCTCCTTCAAGAGATTATCTCCGTATACCCCCTTCTGAACCCCTCCCAGTTGACGGCGGCGGCTTCAAATCGAGTCTGCAACGCGCTGGCGCTTTTACAATGCGTTGCCTCTCATAATGAGACTCGCACTCTGTTCTTGAATGGTATGTCGCCGGATTCAACTTGCACTACGCGCTGTGACATAGCTGACGAATCTTTCTTCCCAATCAGCACATATCCCACTTTTCCTCTATCCATTCCTTAATACCACCTCTAAATCTCGTCCGTTCGAATACCTGCGACTCACCTCCTTGGGCGTGATCGGTGCCTTAGTCAAGAACGACTCCTCGGATGTCATCAACTTCCTCCTCACCACCGAGATCATTCCGCTCTGCCTTCGCATCATGGAGACGGGCTCGGAGCTGAGCAAAACGGTGGCGATTTTCATTGTACAAAAGATCCTGTTGGATGATATTGGTCTGGCTTATATTTGCGCCACATACGAGAGATTTTACGCCGTGGGGACCGTTTTGAGCAACATGGTCACTCAGTTGGTGGAGCAGCAAACCGTCAGGTTGCTCAAGCACGTTGTGCGCTGCTTTCTTCGGTATGGACTCTCTTATTCTTTCTTTTCAAAATTGCCTCGATCGGCATTGCTAACGATTATACAGCCTCAGTGACAATAGCCGAGCGCGGGAAGCTTTGCGACAGTGTCTCCCCGAACCCCTGCGGGACGCCACCTTCTCTTCCGTTCTCCGCGACGACGCCGCCACGAAACGTTGTCTCGCGCAGCTCCTCATCAACCTCTCCGATAACGTCTCCGATGGCGCTCCCGGCGTTGCTTTGTAAAAAGTCGAAAATGCATCTCCTTACCTTTTTTGTTGATTTTGCTTGGTATATTTGACAACCTTACGATATGCATGGGACGGTCTTAGGCGAAAATGGGTCTTCAGGCGCAAATTGTGTGTGAACTGGCAACAAAAAAGAAAAATCTTTCCAACGAAAAAAGAACAAGAAAAAGAACAGAGAGGGCAGGTGAACAATGGGGGAATCTTTGTGACCATCATGTATTAAAGGTTTTTTTTTTCTCTCTTCCTTTTTCCTCCCTATTCTTTTCCTTTTCGCATGCTCACCCTATCCTTTGTTTTTTCTTCTGCTTGCTTGCTTTGCTCTTCGTCATGTTTGCCTTTTTATCATTACGTTTATCTTTCATCTTTCTCCCTTCTTCCGGCAGGGTCGTCATGTCATTTCCCCTTTTGTTCTCTCTCCCAATTTCGGTCATAATGTGGTATAAGGCGGTGCGGTGGCGTGGATATGGATGGCGCATGTGTTTCTGTGCATTTCCCTTGTCCTTTCTGATCTCTTTCCCCCTCCCCCATCTGATGAGATAGACCCTCTTTGAGCGAGAGATACCAAGATCTAGGTTTTTGTTTTTGCATGCGTTGGGCTTCACATACCTTTTCCTAGTACTTCGGGTTTGTCGGGTGGCAACGGAACAGTCAGTCTATGGATATTGCTTTATTCTTTTGCCGATGCATCTGTTACGAATGTCAATTACTGTTTTTTAAAAGAACAAGAATCAATCAGAGACGCAGTTTTAAATGTTCCCATCTTGACTCTTGACTTAGTAAGACTAAAGCGAAGGGCCACGTCGAGACGGTCGACCTTATCGGGCGCCCAGTCGGCTCGCTAACATCACCTGACGGGCCCGACGCGTCTCTCGGGACTCTGAGCTCATCTCCCTCTCTCGCCGACACGCCTTGCCATCCTGTCCACCAGCGCCGCTTGTCCTTCCCATACCTCCTCCTAATTTACCCTATTTGTTGATCACCTCTTTCCTGCGCATATTCACCCGCGTCATACTTATCGGTTTTTTTGCGCACACCCCCCTTCCGACGCTGAACATTCGGCGGTTTTTTTCGGCATTCGGTCCTGCGCTGCGGCGTCTTTTAATGGTCTCGAACCGTCTCTATGGTCTCGCGAAAGCGCACCCGTTCCGAGGCGGACGCTGCCCCCCAGCAGCCCCCGGAGGAATCTAATATACTTGATCGCCTTCGGAGTTGCTGGGAGTTTGCCAATCTTATGCAATACATCGCCATCTTCGGAAAACTTATGAAGATTGATGAGGATTTCGGGATCGATGTACGTGCCCCTTCGCCGCTCGGCCTACGAGCCGAATGCGCAAACCAGCTCGCCATGGCGTCGCGCATGGTAAATTCTGTCTCTTGATACTAACGTTGCCTCCGCACCAGGACCTAGAGACCGAATGCCTGAAACCCGAATCGTCAGAAAAGCTGCTGGAAATTGGGCTGTGTCTACTCAAATGGGTCTCGTCACATCGCGGCCTAACGTACGTGAACGTTTCCCTGGACTCTTCTTAATCGCGCAAAGCTGACCAAGATGGGTTTGATCTTAGATTTGATAATTTCGACGAGTACACGCGACGCCAGTACAATGCCAAAGCCCCTCATATCCCTAACCCCTTCGGCCACGACGAGGTCCCGAACAAATTCTCCGAATTCGATGTCTTCTTGAAACTTCGCGTGCTCCACCAGCTGTCCGTGTGGACTTTCTGGAACCCCGATCGCCTTCGCGACAAGATGCCCGAACAAAGGGAACTTGACCAGACGCAATGGGTGAGCTTCCCCTTCCCCACCACGGCCTACGTCGTTAGGCTCCGTTCATTACTGAACATTTCCCTTCCAGCGAATCGAAGAAGTAGGGTACGATCGTGACGGTCGCTACTACTACATTCTAGACGATAATAGACTCTACCGTCGCACCGACCCTCCCCTCCCTCCCCCCAAACCGGCCAAAGCAAAGACCAAGCGGAAGAGTGCCCGAGCCATGAGGGCGTCGAAGCGGAGAAAGGTCTCGGGGGTAGCCTTCGACAACGATTCTTCGGACGAGGACAATAAGAACACCGCGGACGGTGACGCTTTTCGGGATCCATTTGCAGAGATGCAGTGGGAGTGCGTTGCAATCACCCTTTCGGACTACCAGCAGTTTTTGGCTTCCATTCAGAAGACGAAGGATGCCGATGAGAAAATCCTGAGAGGCCGCATTGAAGAGGATGTCATGCCGGTGATCGAGAAGGAAGAAGAGTCACAACAACGACAGAAGGTCAAGCGCGAAAAGGAGCTTTTCAACCTGCAACTGCTGGCCGGCGCTAAGCGCTCGAGCCGTATTGCTGGAAAGGCCGAGAAAGAGCGACACGACCGTGAAGCGGAGGAAGCAGCACGCAAGAAGGAAGCAGATGCCGTTGCAGCCCGCAAGGCCGAAGAGAATAAACCAAAGATCGAAGAGGAGCGACGATCACGAATGCAGACCCGTGAAGAGCGCATTAAGGAACGGGAAAAGAAGCGCCTGTTACATGAGACCGAATTGCAGAGGATAGAGGAGGAGCAGCAGAAACTAGAACGCGGCGAAAGTCGGGTCTCTGAAAGGCAGTTGAAGGCGGAGTTGGAAAAGCAGCGCAAGAATCTAGAAGGGCTCTCTCAGGAAGACGAGTGGATCTTTGATTGCTCCGGCTGCGGCGTGCATGGAGAAAACCTGGTAAAGGAATTCCCAGGTTGAACAGAAAGATGAGAGACTAACGTTTAATAGGACGATGGCTCCCATAGCGTCGCCTGCGAGAAGTGCAGCGTGTGGCAGCACAGCAAATGCCTTGGGATCGGGCAGGATGAAGCAGAGCGCGAGGATTTTCATTTTGTCTGTCTCGACTGCAAGCGGCGAGAAGAGGAAGCGAAGAAGCCCAAGCTCCCACCGTTGAAGTTCCGAGTTGGCTCCTCTCCGCCATCAGCGACCGATGTCGAGAAGACTCATCCCAAACCCATTGCGCATACTTTTGTACCGTATCAACCTGAGGCTCATCGCTCTCCCTCGAAGGCCTCAAATACGTCTCCATCGAAACCACCTTCAATGCAACCGTCTCTGCCACCGCAGCATGCGACACAGTCTGTCCCGTTCCCTCTTTCGCCCGAACGGCGGCCTCAGTCTGCCCATATAGCCTCGCTCGGTTCCCCTCGAGGCCCGTTCTCGCCGACCAAGGGTGCCAATAGACACACGCCATCGAGGAATCAACTGCCCAAACTTCCGTCAATCCAGCAAACCGCTCATCTTCCGCCCAATGATGGACCTCCGAACGGCGGCTCGCTCTCCCAACGGCCCTCGTCATCCCATTCTGTTCACAGTCAGAATATGGCCTCGCCCATCCAGAATCGTCCATCGATGTCCCCGACCCAGGGTAATCGTGACGTCGGTCCTCTCGCAGGATTCCCACCTTCGGCCGCCTCGACAGAGAGTCCAGCTCCGTGGACACCCTACCGGCCGCAACAAGTTGCCCGGCCAGGCAGCGGCAACTATGCATCTTTCTCGTCGCTTCACAATGGGCATCCATCTCTCTTGGCTACCCCTGGGAGCCAGTCCTCTCCTCCGCAAAGCTCACACGGCGTGCCGTTTTCGGGGATCAGCCCGACCAAGCAGTCTCCTCGGCCTATGACCTCGGGCAGCATCGCGGGAGCACCTGTCTTGCCTCCTATCCAGAAACTTGAACCGAGTCCCAAGTTGATGGGACGGAGTTCGCCGGATGCCCCCATCCCGGCGCCGGTCAAGTGCATGACACCAGAGCAGGAAGAACGTCGACAACGGGAGAACGCGCTGATGTTCCACAATCAGCCACAGGCTGTGTCCAATGGACAACACTCTGCGATGTCGTCCCCGTCCCTCAATCGAATCCCTCCTCTCGGACCGTCGGCCATGGCGCCCCGACCGGATGCTCAGCGTGATGCGACGAATGGGCAGTCGTGATCCACGCGTGGTTATGGGAGTGGGTCCTAGAACGACGACCGCTCCGGCGTTGCATGTACACTATCCGAACAACTAGACATCAACCTTCTTCGAGACTAGCAAGGAGCCTTGGACATATCCTTGCGAACAATTACCACCATGAACAATCGGGGCGACGTACGTTCTTAGTGTGTGGGGAATCAAACACGGACCTTTCTTGGGGACGTTGCCATTATTTTGTGCAACGAATCCAGCACGACCGGAAATATCACCCCCAGCAAATGACGGTGAACGCCATCATTACACCAAACCATGAGTCTAATTTAACCTCATGCCATTGTTCTTATAGGGGTTTGGTTGTCGTATTTCCTTTTTCTCTCTCTATCTCTCTTATTAAATTACTTATTACCCACAACAGTGGAATGTCTTTCATAGACATGAAACAAGAGGCGTTGTTTACGCTGAGCGACCCTCGAGCCTCTTGTTTGCTGGTCACTTTTTGCAACAAATCATTCTACTGCTTTTCCTACGATTGCATTTGTCGGTTGGTTGGTTGGTTGGAGCTGGAGCTGGACTTGAATTATTTTTTTTTCCTATTGTTTTATTCTGGGAAACTTGATTGACAGAGGGCGTTGCGGGCCATTGAGGCCGAAATAGGTGTACGATGTACGAGCAGATCTGGACTGAAGATTCCCCGTGTATTAAAAGTCATTTGCATAAAGCTAGACAGGTTCTTTTATGGTTCTTTCAGGTAGTAATGGTTGGGACTCTGTGTCTGTGCATCTTCTATATTGTAAAATATAGGCGTGATCTCAAGTGGAGATATATTCTATTGTAAGGACGTAGGGCTATAGGATCTACCGATCACCTCCCCCTCCCCCCAGCTTGTCAGATCTTAGCAGTGATAGAGCTGCATGAACCCCAATCCCATTGTAAATCCCGATCCCCGATTCTTGATCCTAATCCTAGGGTATGCCACAGGGCATGTGCCGCATGCATGTGTGCATGGAGATAGCGCATGCATGCATCGGTATCTGCATCAATCAATCAATCAATCAACAATAGATAGCAAACAAACACAAGCGCAACCACGCGTGCAGAGAGAAGCTAAAATTGATCAGCGGACTACTAGGTAGCAAACAGATGGATTGATTCAGCGGTAGGAACAAACACATTCTCTTTCTTTTGGGCTTATCTGTTGCATTGCACATGCGGTGTTACTAACTTGGTATCATTCAGTTTCCTATTGAAAAATTGCATTGTTTTCGTTCGATTAATTATATTACTGACTGGAGAAAGACCTACCTACCTAGGCATACATTCGAGCGATGTGATCAAGTCAGATCCGGCTAAGTAACCCAGCTACAGTACATACCTACGTATCTCTCTATCTATTTCGGTAGCAATCACTCAATTGCCCGGCCGAAAGGAGTGAGCAAGTGTGTGAGAGAGAAAAATACCTCATCTCTTCCCCTACTTCCCTCTCCCATCTAGTGCATCCCGTGTCAAACAGACGATGTCTCTTATCCGGCCTCCCCGTTGAACTAAAACCCGAGCCAGAGCCAGAGTCCAGACCGAATAGATTAACCCCAACCCACCAACGGAGTCGACGGATTTAGTGCCAGCACAGTCGGTGTTCGCCGTTTGGAACATCCCAAATACTATGAACATAGAATGGAGTAGTTAGTAGTTACTGACCTACCTACCCAGAGTCTGTCTACCTACCTGCCTACCTACGACCACTTCTCTCAAGATCTAGATCCAAGAACGGACACGGAGAAGTTTCTTCCCCGTCGAGGGAAATCGAATACTGAATCACTGCTCAGTCAATGGTTCAATCAATCATTGACTGGGTCGGGGTCTTGGCGCGGCGCGTAGGACTGTGATTTGGGTCTCTCTCTTCCCCTCGATCTCTCTTGTTTTGGGGAGTCGAATCTGATGTATGTATGTATTCTGGAATCGGGGAGGGGTAGATCCCGAGATTTTCTTTGCTTTTTTTTTTTTTTTTCTGGTCTTCCTCTTCCCCCCCCCCCTCCTTCGCTCCCCTCCGCATCACAAATTTCCTGTTTCACTCGACTCCGGCAACTCCGAATAGATAGTTCGATTCAGAGTCACTAACTAGATAGATGGACTAGAATTAGGTAACTCGGTAACTGACTAAGTTAAGTATGTACAGTAGCTAACTAACTTAATGATATCCCCGAGCCAGAACCATCCAATTATGTTGGTTGTTATTTTTCATTTTCACCAATGGAATGAAATAAAATGGACCTGACTAGACGCGGGATGTGATGTGCTCGTCTATTATTCTCTACCAGTAGCCACCTTGGCATTTAAGAACGGGTCATTGCGCAGGGATGCAGTCGGTTGCGGGTCTTGGTTGTCTGGTTCTCCTATTATATATTTAGTTGGCCAATTGGTTAGTTGGTTGATTGAGTAGTTACCTCCGTAGTTGGCTATTGCGGCCCGTGGACACTAGAGACTGGATGCAAGTCACTACTCCGTAGGGAGGTTATGTAGGTGGATAGGGGCTAAGTACGGAGCAGGAGTTCTATTGTCCCGAAGCCGTTTGATAATTAGAATTGATTAACTCTCTTTATTTCATGAACCTACTGTGTAAATTATGGTGGGGATTGAGAACCGGGGACTGAGACTGGGGGCGATTGCAGGATGCAGGTGCAGTAATGTACTCCGTATGTACAGTGGGTTGATTTGTTTGTCTTGTGGAAGAATGGGTGAAAGAAATGATGAATGAATGAATGGGTGGAAGAAAGGAGACAATAGAACGAAGCTTAGGTCCAGGCACGCTAAAGTAATGGCTAACTGGACTAGCCAGTAAGGCTAAAGCTACGGATGAGTACTCCCGACTCCGTCGAGTCTAGGAAATCACGCACGGGGGGTGAATCGTGTGATTTACTTACATTCACATTGTTAGAACGAGAGCTAACAGCCTAAGCCGTAGCCGTTTAGTTGGTACTTGGTAGTGAGACGGTTAGGAAGACTTAGGGTTCCAGAGTCTGAGTCGGCGAAATGCGAACAAGGGATGAAATACCGAGGATCGGCCGGATTGATAATCATTATCATATCAAAGTCCCTTTTTTGATGCCACCTAAGTCTTTAGTTCAGTGGAGTGGGGAATGGGGAATGGGGATAAGTAGTTTCAACCGGATACGACGTTAATTTTTACGGCGCTGGTTTCTTGTCTCCTGACTCGTTCTCGGCTTCTTCTCCCCGGACTGCGGAGGAACTTCCTAACGGGAAGAAAGAATCCTCCCAGGAAGATCGTGGTCATTGCTTGTTTAGGCTGCGGCGCAGGTGGAATCAGTTGGTAGCATCGAGACTAGCAGGGGAGATGGTGGAGTAGATCTCGATCCTTCGCGCATCGTTTTTATTATGATGGTCCGGTCGAGGTTGAATCAACCGCTCCAGATTCTGGACTCTCCAGTACGGAGGGGTTTTTTTTTAATATCATCGGATGGGTCCCCGGGGACAACTTGATTAGGGTCGCACCGTCCGCGGTAGGGCACGACTCGCGAGAATCCTCTCATCTCCTGCTCAAGAACAGACCACATCGTTTACCCACTCTGATTCGGACAACGTCGCGATTCTTCCCTCCCTGAGAATCGCCATCATCACCGCACGCCCCGGTCAATCAAGCGAGTGGATACCTGACTGGAGACCCATGGGTCCGAATTCTCTTTTCCCGTTTGCCCCTTAAGATCCCCGATCAACTGATATGACGGGCCGGCTGTCACATCCCCCCGCGCTGAAAAGTTAATAGTAGCTCGATGGGGAACGTGATGGGGCAGAGCCGAGTGGGAAAAGCTACGAGAAATGAGACGAGTCCAGTCAGAAAACGGTCGCCGAAGTTGTAGATTTGGGGAGTTGCACATATGTGCGACTCTGTACTCTGGGAACGCCGGGATGAAACTATTGGAACCCGGTTTGGTCCGTCCACTCAGGGGCTCTTCGGTTTCCATCCGATCAGAATAAGAAACTCACTAAAAATTCAATATCGGGGGAAAATGACAAGAAAAAAAAAAAAAGACATGCATCATCGATCCCGAACGTGAACCTGAATCTGGATGCGGTGGAGAAACATGACTACTCCCACCGGTTAATAATTTAAGGCTGGTTGGTTGCCTGTCGTCGCCTATCGATCGCCCCCAACTGGTAGGGCGGCTGAGGCCGAATTGGCTAGGGTTACTCCTTACTAAATCCTCCTTAGCACTGCATCCACAGAACTAGCTGAGGTAGTAGCCTACCGTTAGGACCTTATGAGGTAATAACTGGATGATACGATCACCGGTGCATGGATGGAGCCGGTGGGAAATGAGGGCAAGGCTGGACCTATCTGATTACTTGGTCAAATGACACTCTGCTGGGGTGGAAGAGGGGAGATTGGACCTGACGTCGTACAGACGGATACTCTGTACATCATCGCTTGCCACCCATATACCACCTATAGAACACCTTATTATAGTCTAAACCCACGGCGACCAGTGACCGACGCGGCGTGGGAGATACCAGACCGTCATCTGTGCCAGACCGCGAGTTCTCCGGGGCATTGACAACCCGATTCTATGCGCATTGCAGGGAGGCGCGCATGTCCGATGACATCGAGCACGGGCTGTTCTGTCCTAATTCTCGCTATCCCCGGTGAGGGAAAAGGAAGAGAAGGAAAAAAAAAAAAAAAAAGAAAGAAAGAAAGAAAGATAGAAAGAAAGAAAGAAAAGAAAAGAAAGCACAAAACTCAGAAAAAGAGACCCCCACTCCAACTCAGGATGAAGTTCTGAACCGTTTAGGATCTACCGATGGGTACCACTACATTAGTGTAGTGGAAGCGCATTGGCGGACGATGCAGCCGGTCAGTCTGTCTTAGCGAGATGCTCCCAATTTCAATTGTCCTTTTTAGGTTGGAATCTGGACGTCTAGGTAGCGAGCTGTGGAGGCAGGTATGTCCATCGTACCACTTGGAAATTGGTACACTAGCACGGATTCTCGAACTAGGTGCCGCGGTT